TGTCTACTTCTTTGTGAAAAACATATACTTTCCTTTAACACCAAATGAACAATAAACATCTAGAAGAAACGTGAGGTTCAGTGTTTTTTTGGGTTTTTTTCTTAAGTAAAACATCCATTTTTTTTTTTTTTTGTACTGGGGCTCGAACTCAGGACCCTGTGCTTGAGAGGCAGGAGGTGGCACCACTGAGCTAAATCCCTGGACCAAACATCCATTTTTAACGGGTGCCCTCCCACTGAGTTGAGATTCGGTATGCTTTCACCTTCCATAAGAGTTTGCTATACAAAGTTCATGCATGAAAGGAGGATTAAAAAGTAAAACTGCTTATTTTCAACACCACGACATTTTGGGGTCTGTAAAGTGGGCATTTTTTCTTTGTGTGTAGCACACCTTCACGCATGATGGTTGATGAACTGGGAGGAAAGTTCCTTAAAGTTCCTGACAGCAGGGACTTCCTACTTCACTGGGACTATGGCGTTGTGGGGGTCCCTCTCTAACCAAACAGTGATCCAGAAATATTTCTTGTACCCTTTTAAAAATTTTCTGTCTCCCTTACCACCAAGGAACAACCTCAGGTTACCAAATGATGACTGTGTATCAGGTGCGGTGCTAAGTATATCTTACTTAATTCTAAAAACTGCAGGACGTGGGATCACGGGTTCTAAAGAGAGACCAAACAATCCCACCAAAGTTCACACGCAGGGACCCCAGGGACAGGGTCTGCGATGCCTCCCAAACTCTGGCCTTAAAATATTGTACTACACTGATGGAAAATAACTTGGTAGGTCCCTGGACTTGTGAAAAAGTTTTAAAACTAAAACACTTTGCGGAGCATTTGCTGGGTCCTCCGGTAGGTAAGACAACACATTCCCCAATATTCATAGACTACAGAGAACAGCAAGGGCCTGAACGGGCTGCCAGCCTCTGCTAGTGGGTCCTGGAAAAAACCTTTGCAAAACAGTCGATTGGCGTCAGACTCTGATTGATGGTACATCTCTCTCATGGCTTGCTTTTAGGTCACAGAATTATAACCAGGCAGTCACGTGGCTCGAGGGGCTGAGCACCATAAGGCTTCGAGAGTCTTTGTCCCACTAGAATTTGCCCATCTGGCCTTGCCTCCTCCCCGGTCCCTGCAAATACCTGAAGCATGATCCTCCTTTTGTGTCAGTGCTCACAGCCCTTTAAACTATGCGTTCTTTCATTGGTGCCAACTGGGCTGAGAGAGGGACTTGTAGAACATTCCTCTTCCCATCAGACTCTTAAATTGTTTGAGCAGAGAAAATAGTCAGAGCTAGGCATAGCGATACATGCCTGTCAAACCCGTCCTCAAGGAGGCTGATGCAGGAGGATTGTGAGCTCCAGGCTAACCTGGGCTACATAGTGAGTCCAAGCCCAGCCTGAACTACACAGCAAGATAACGTCTCATAAGACAAACAAACAAACAAACAGAAAGCATATATGGAGACAAAATTCACTGTTAACTTCCACTGAAAGATAGAAGAAAGGAGGAAGCAGACGGCAGCACAGAGAGCACTTCATAAGATAATGGAAAAACAGAAGGCAAGAAAGTCATAACTAGATGGCCTGTTTATGGTCCCTCTTGAAGGGAGTGGCATGACCTGAAAATGAAACAGGAAGCCTCGACAAACTGAAAAAAGGAAGTGACTTCTGACCCTTGTCTAGACTCCGGAATGAAGAAGCCAACCTGATAAGGATCAGTGTGAAGCAGTATTTACCAATTTCTAGGCGGCCGTGTCTATAAAGCGGGGCCTCCGAATCACGAGCACAGGAGGAAATTAAGTTCAGTGTTTGTTGTGCACATTCTGACTCATCGTTACTGTAAGAGAAAGTCTGACTGCTTTTCTGGACAATGTTAATTCTCTCGGAATCTCCGTTTTATCAAGCTGTGTTAGCTGAGAAATTACTTCTGAGTCAGTATCTGGGATGTGATAAAATGTGGTAAATGTTAAATATTAAGAACGCGTTATATCAAAAGACACACTGCCACGAGTCCCTCTCAAAACACTCCCCTTGCTTCAAACACACCTAGTGTCCTTGACACTTTCTGAAGCAGTCTGGGGAATCCTCGTCTGTGAGTGTCTTTAGTTGTATTGTGGCTGCCTCCCTGTTCTGAACCGATTAAAAACGTTTCCCTTCCATTGTCATTTTGACTTTGGGAAGAGCCAAAAGTCACGTGGGACCAGATGTGCTGACTCAGACAGATGAGGCCACAGTAAGGTTTTGTTCTGTTTTTGTTTCGGTACCGGGGATCAAACTTGGGACCTTGTGCTGATGAGGAAGGTGAAAGAACCACTGAGCTAAATCCCTGGCCTCTGTAAGTTGTATTTTATATGCAAGATTCAGTAAGACCAGCAAGACTCCTGAACACTCTTAGTGTAACGTTCAGGAGAGAACTAAAGTAACAAAACATCTACAGGACTGATATAGGAGTCCGCCTTAAGAAAACATGAGAAGCCAGGCGTGGTGGAGCACACCTGTAATCCCAGCACTCGGAGGCTGAGGCAGGAGGATCGGATCGCTGTGAATTCGAGACTGGCCTGGGCTACATAGTAAGTTCCAGGTCAGTCTCAACTACATAGTGAGAACCTGTCTCAAATAACCAAAAAGAAAACATGAGAGTCAGTAATTCACGAGACAGGACAGTTCTTACACATGCTAAGTATTGCTCTCTTTGTACTGGGCACCAGGGTCAGGAGGAAAGCTGCAGAAAGGCTTCTTGCCCTAATGTACATATTGTTTGCTTTTTTAAAAATGATGACAAGCCAGGCATGGTAGTGCACACCTGTAATCCCAGTCCACGGGAGGCTGAGGCAGGAGGATCGCTGTGAGTTTGAGACCAGCCTGGGCTACATAGTGAGTTCAGGGCCAACCTGAGCTACAAAAGGAGACCCTTCCTAAAAAAAAGAAAAAAAGAAAAAAAAGAAAACAGCAACAACAACAAAAAAAAACCCCACCTAAAACGATGACTTCTGGTTAAATAAAAATATGAAATTATAAATGAAAATGAAAAATATTTGAAACACCTGGGTGACTTTCATTTCAAATGTCACTAATTAGCAATTCGGCATTAAAAGTAAATTTTCAAATACAAGCATATCTCTCTTGGAAGTTGTACAATCCTTTCTGAAATTGCTCTCAGTCACAGGGATCACAGAAACAAATGCTCCCAGGTGTGGTGGCATGTGTCTGTAATCCCAGCACTTGGGAGGCTGAGGCAGGAGGATTGCCATGAATTGGAGGACAGCCTGGGCCACCTAGTGTGTTCAAGGCCAGCCTGAACTATGTAGCAAGACCCTGTCTCAAAAAAAAAAAAGAAGAAGAAAATGCCAGTTGCCGGACTCCATGTTTACGTGTTCACATGCTAACCCTCAGACAGCTGGACGTTGCTTATTCTCCTTGATAAGTGATTGCTCTTTTTTTTGGTGGTGGTAATGCTGGGGAGATTAAACCTGGCACCTTGAACACCCTAGACAAGCACTCTCCCACTGAACTATATCCCTAGCTCTTTAAAAAAATTTTTTTTAAATGTTGAGACGGGGTCTCCCTAACTTGCCTAAGGTGTCTTGAACCTGTGATCCTCCTGTGCCGGCCTCCCAGTAGCTGGGGTGACGGGTGTGCACCACCAGGCCTGGTTCACATCAGTCATTTCTGATAAGAAACCTACATATCCAACTGGTCCGCATGGGGAGGTTCATCCGGGGCCTCTTCTCTGTGTCAGTGTCACAGCTGTAAGATGCGGGCAAGGAGGGAACTCACGGAAGACCGTGAGCACACACTTCGGCACAGTGCGCCCCGGGAAGAATTACAGGCCTGCTTCATGAGGAATGAGGCGAGAGGCAGGCGGGATGACAGGAGTCGCTCAGGGCTGTGATGTCGGGTCGTGATAACTCAGGTTGGTCGACTGTGGTCTGTTATTAGAGGTCACTGGTTTACTCCTGTAGCCCCCGGTGACGGCAGCAGAGCCCAGGGAGGGTGGCAACACCCACCAGGCTGGCATGAGTCAGTCCTATTTCATGTAACACTAAGGAGACCAGAGGCAGCTGTGGTCATCCACAGGGATTCACCAGTTCCTACACAGGCAAAAGTGTGCTGTACTCTTAGGCGGAGTCAAGAGAAGCAGATTCCCAATCAAAAAAAAAAAAAAAATTTTTTTTTTTTTTTTTTTTTTTTAT